TTTTGTTCATGTGTGGGCCATTGTGAGAAAGAATTTGTAGAAGAGGACAAATAATAATAAAGTGAGAACAGTTAAGAAAAGTAAAAGAATTAGGGCGTTTTGTTCCTTACTGTTGGAAGATTTCTTTTACTGTTAGAATGAGATTCTTGTTAATATGTGTGTGTTTTAAAACCTTCAGGTGTTTGGGTCTGTCCAGCCTGCGAGCTGTTTCCCAGCCATCGGCCATGTTGACAGCTCGGCCGAGACCTGGAAACACAGCACACCGGGGTTACTGGTGAAACCAGCTACTGCAATTATATTTGACTAATCTGGAGGCAGGGAAACTACCCCCCCCCCCAGAGTTAGCCTCTCTGAGCAGTTAGCTTAGCTAATGTTACAACAAAGGAACTTTTACAAACAACCATGAATGTGCTTCTAGTGATTGTAAAAGCTCCAGCGGTCCTCAGTCAGAACCTTATTTGTAGGAAGGAAGGAGGAAGTTTACCAAGGTTCTGACCGAGGCTTGCTCAACTTGAATTGGATCACAGAGCAAAAAGGGGCAGGACTTAGGAAGGGTCAATTTAGGAGTTCAGTTACACTTTAATTTTTAATGCCAACAACAACAAACTTCAACCAATCATGTTGCGTGGATGTCCAAAGTGGGCGTCGCTGTAGCCGAGGCAGACTCCCCCATTGGTCAGAGCCACCAGGTCAACGTCCTGGTGGGGGGAGACAGATGACCAGTCTCTCTGCCCGACGCCGTACACTCGCAGTCTGGCTATCCCTCCATCTGAGGACACAGAAATACAATGTTGTATGTGTTACATGATCAGTGCTATTAGTGTGTGTGTGTATGTGTGTGTGTACCTGGGTACATGTTGAGGCGCAGGTGTGTGACTCGGTGGTTAAAGTCGACCTTGAAGTAGTTATGGCAACAGTCTGAGTATCCAGGATTTAGCTGCGACACACCGACCAGCTCCGGCCACGCCTCCGAGCCCAGCTGTCAATCAAACCACCACACTGTCACATTACCATGGTGACCAGCTGGTTGTAGTGGCCAGTACCTTTCGCCTGCCCACTGTAAGTGTTACCTTGGCGACAGCAGCCAGCTGGCTGTCGGAGGCGGCCATGCCGGTTCGGTCTCCTTCCAGCGTGAAGGTTGGCGGTTTGTCTGGTGAACAACACGTAAGTATTAGTTCAGTTTGATACCTCGTGTCCAATGTGGCTCCATCACGGTCCAACAAGTACGTAGCACCAAACGGTTGTCTGCCAGAAGCTGTCACACATTGACTGTTTATCCAGTCTGAAGCCACATTTTTACCATCCACTGTTTAGATCTTGGTGCTTTTTAACTCTA